TCTCAGAGCTCACTACAGCCTGAGTATAAAGGGAAGCCTCAGGGATAAGAGCAGACAAAGACTAGGTCTTGAGATGTTTTTTTGTATTCCTCGAAAGATATCAGTCAAGGGGAGCTTGACTGATAGCTTGATCGTAGCTAATGTGGAAGGCCATGTTCTGTAGCTGCTGTCTGCTGTTGGCCACCTTCTGTTGTCCTCCCTAGACTGACACCAGGGACATTGCCATTGTGTCATGTGCCTGCTTCTCAAACAGGTGAAGTAGGAAAAGCCATGGGGTTCTTTAACACCCTGGTGAACTGTTTGGTTTATTGCAGTGCAAACTGAGGTTTCTGTTCCTGTCCCCATGAGGCTGGCAGGATTGTCTCTATAGCTGTGCTCTTTTACTACCCTTTCCCCCGTCTTTATGGCTAGATAAGAGCTGCTTTTCCAAGGCTTGGACATGCAAGTCTGTGAGGGTTACCTGTGGAAGTGACCAAGGTTTTCTTGACAGAATTCGGTGCCTTTGTTTAACCAAGTGGAAAGTTACGGAAATAAAATACCGGGCTCTGTCTGGAATGGAACCTATCTTCTGTCCCAGCACACGCACACTGCATGATGCAACTACTCAGCATGCTTTGTTTTTTGTTGTAGTTTGCCTCGTGCACCAGAGTTGCTTCTGCTTTCTTTTGCAGGTGAAGGTCCAGAATATGGGGCCAGTGGGGAGGATGCCCTGAGCAGGATTCAAAGGCTGATGGCAGAAGGTGGCATGACTGCCGTGGTTCAGCGGGAGCAGAGCACCACCATGGCGTCCATGGGCGGCTTTGGCAACAACATCATTGTGAGCCACCGGATCCACCGCAGCTCTCAGACTGGCACAGAGCCCACTGGAGCTGAGGGCACGTCGGCACAGCAGTCCACCTCTCAGCAGCTGGGCACAGAGCTGGAGGGACGGATCCTGTCAGAGTCCGTGCAGCTGCCGGAGCGTGGCCTCAGCCCGCGGACAGCCCCTAGTGGGAGTGAAGGACAAAGCGCTGGTGACCTGGATCTGCCAGAGCAGGCCCAGTCCTCCATGGACACCGAGGGACCAATTGAATACAGTGACCTAACTAACAATAACCATCTTCCTGACAGTACCAACTTCTATAGTAATGACAGCACCAGTGGGGAGTCGCGGAACAGGTAGAGATTGAGTTGTGTGTTGGTGCTACCCTTGTACTGCTCAGCAGAGACCTGTACCTCACAGCTGGCCAGGAGCTGGAAGAGCAGGGATGGGTGGCTCTAACAGGATGCTGGTGGTTCAGAGGGCTTCTCTATCCTGGGTGATGGAGGAAGGGATAAGAATTACAAGGGAAGCCATGGGAAAGAAAGCATACTTAACTTCCAACATTCCCACTGCTGAGGAGTTAACAGGAATACAAACCACAGTTGCACATCAGGCAAATTTTGAAGCCCCGTGGCATCCCCTGAGCTAAGCCCTGCAACTTGGTGTGTCATCCTTTGTAAAGCCTTTTTCCTTTCCTTTTTCCTGCCCTTTTATACCCACGGAGCTGATCAGTAGAGTGAAGAAAGGGAAGGGGGCCTGCAGCATCCTTCTGGAGACAGGCAGTACTGGGCAAACCCAGGCGTGATGCTCCAGCTCTGTTGCTGGAGTGGAGGAGTCTTCCAGGCCACAGTCCCTCTCCACAGCACAGCACTGCTCCCCCAGAGTGTGGTGTTCTGAGACCAATCCTGCCTATGCTGTGGTCTTTTCTGGGAAGAACTGAGCTTCACCAGAACATGCATGGCTCAGGATATGCTCACAGGTGGATTCTTTCCTTTTTCGAGTTAGTTTAGGACTTGGCAGGAACCGAAGCAGAGATGCCATGTGGATGGGTAGAGGGACAAGGGCTACTACTCTCTAGTCAGGATGCAGTTCTCACAAGGATGTTCTAAGCTGTGCCAATATTAACATGAGTGAGCCACCCCAGTGGTTTCATGTTGCCAGGACTGAACTGCACATCCTTGACAGGGGGCAGGAAGTCTCTTTTCAGCTCCAGGCCAGGGTGTGAGGTATGGGTCTGTGATGTAAGGTGTTGCATGTGAAATCTTGACCTTGTACATGTAGTTTCTAGTGGAGAAGTCAAGGCTCTGATACTTTGTTTTTAGTCTCAAATGTGATTTTCCTTTTCGTTTGTAACTCTCCATCCCTAGCAGGCTTATGGAGGAAGTACGGGGAGAGTGTGAGTGCTGACGAGGGAAACACCAAAGATCAATGTCATTAAAATATGACAAACCCTTGCTTGACCTCCTGTCTTCATTTGTGTGATGGTTGTCTCCGTCTTTGGCCTTGGGGATAGATAGATCCATCTCAGAAGCTCTAAGCAGCATGAAAATGTCAGATGATGACCACCCCCTTTCCCAGAGGAAAGCAGACTCCGCCTGTGAGTTGAAAGTCCAAAACTGGGAAACAAGGAGGTGCATTTGGGAGTCTTGCTTGCAAATTGCATTTTAACCAGTCTGGAGATGAGCAGGCATTTCCCATCATTCAAGTACTGCAGTAAGGAGAAAGAAGAGCGTTTCACCTATCCTGCGTAAAAAGGTGTGTAGAGGTGCAGCACTGAACATCTTGGGCAAGCAGAGAGTGGTCTGTCTTGCTGACCCCTTGATGCAGAAGAGGGTTGCAGTATCTGGCTGTTCTGGATAGAGGAATGCACGCTCCTCTCTTACCACTGTGGTGTGATGGATGTTTCCAGTGCTGTCTGAGCACCTGCCAGCAGCTGCTGTGCTCCTGCCCTGCTCCTCTAGATTCTCTGCTGCTAAGACATTACAATAAATAAGTCTGTCATTAGGCAGCACTCAAGCTCCCAGTCAGAAGAGTCTGTTAGAGAACATTAAGCAAATCTTCCCTTAAATCACAGCCTGGAGATGAACCTTAAATCAAATCAGCTGCTGCCAGGCCTCATTGCTGAGTGTTAATGAGGCTCTAAAACCTGCCCCAAGCCAACTGCATCCCTGATCTGATAGGAGAGCAGTCTGAAAAATGTGATTCCCTTGTGTGGCAAGGAACGTTTCATGCATCCCTGTTTTGCCTTACTGTGGAGGGGCCTGAGGATGTGCTGGCAGTTGGGAGCCAGAAGAGCTATGTCTCAGATGGACAGACAAGGCAGTGCAGGTCTAGACAGTGCTGTTTATTGCTCTACTTGAAAACAAACTAAAACAGAGCCTGGAAAAAAAACTCTTCAGCTCAGCCTGACATCACTTCTTCCCTCTCCCTGCATGATTCCTGGAAGAATCTTGAGGCCCGTTCTTCGTAGATGTGTTGCAGAGCATTTATAGATATCCATTTTCAGAATGAGCCAAGCTATCTACAGAAAAATTTCCATCTCAGTTGGTGAGGTGTCTTCTGGGCTGCCTCACTGTGGTGTTGGCAGATTCTCAGGGCCTGGCGTGCCCTGTTGCTGGGCGCTCTGGCCGGGCTGCTGTGCAGAGGCCTGAAGCCTGCTCTGCTGATGGCTGCCCCTTGGTCCAGACCTGCCCCCACTGGAGACTGTGGCAGAGCAGGGGGTGAGCTCCAGTGGGAGCCAGAACAAACCACAGCCAATGTCTTTGCCATTGACATGGGACGTCTCTGAAGCTCTAAACTTTTCCATTCAAGACTTGAAGGAGATGCTCTTCCTGATAAGGTAAGAGTGGAGGCCTGGTCAGAGCAGGCAGCTTTGGGCAAAAGGCTGCTATCAGCTGAGCCTGACTGCAGCCTGCGTTCCTACAGGCTTTAGGCTGTGGGCACAGTGGCTGTGGACAGGCTTAATCTTCTGGTGCTGCCTTGGACTTGCTTTTTAGATGACCTTCTGTTGCTACACAACTGAGCAGGTGCCCTCAGTGGTGATGGGCTTATGTGTACAGAGAGCAGTGTTTCTCTTTTGAGTTTCAGACCTAGGAAAGCTCAGATTATCCCTGCCTGAGACCTGACGGAGCTACGTGGGTGAATGGGTGAGAAGAGGAGGGGACAGGAGGGAAAATTGGGCCCACTTAGGCAATGGGCTCACCCACACCCAGCCCAATTTATTTATTATGCCCCCCATGCTTCTTGTGGGACAAAAGTCTATATCTGCTTTGGACTACCCTGCTCCAGTCCAGCAGTTTTACTCAGTTGTTTCAGGCAGGGCTGATCTAAGTGTATCCTCAAGCAACACCCCTGAATCTGTGTGGTGACCTGAGGCCTGGAGCCCTGCACAGAACAGCAGGCAGTGGGATTGCCCACGCCGGGGACAGCACCACAGCAGCTCAGGGCTCCTTCCCCAAGCCTTGCAACTTTACCTGCTCACTGCAGTGTGGCAATGCAGCACTGAGGCAAATGCAATGCCAGGAGCAGCATGGAAATTCAACAAGAGCTGCTTCAGGAAACCAAACCAGAGCTATGCATACTTGCTGGCCCAATTTAGGAGGCAAAGTGAGAGCTTTGCTGCGTAGGAGCAGGAAATAATCTTAAAAAGTGAAAGCTTTTCTCAGTCATAGACTGTCAGGAGCCTTTAAATGTGCTAACAAAATCCTGGGGAAAGGAAAAATACAGTGCAGAGAATTTTATTTAGCTTTCAAAAGGCTCTTTTGATAAAGTCCCTCACAAGAGGCTATTAAAGAAATTTAGTCACCTCAAGGGTGAGGGGCAGAGTCCTCCTGGAGATAGAAGCTGTGGGAATTGGAGTCAAAAGTAAGAGCCATTTCTTGGCATGGAATGAGGTTAATGGTGGGTTGGTCGGGTTCAGTAGGAGCCAGTGTTCTCTAAAAGCCCTAATGAGCTGAAAGAGGAGGGGAACAGCTTATGATACAAGATTATTTAGGTTAGCTAGGAAGGGAGAATGTGCCAGAAACCTGGGGCAGTGGGAGGAGGTAGTGGTTGGAGCTTCTGTGCTGGAAGGGGACTTTTTGTATGAATCCTTCACAGATGGAAACCTGCATGGGTGCTGCTGCAGCCAGCATTCCTGGGCCTGGACCACACCAGAGGGTTAGCACTGCCTGGAGGGAAACCTGGGATCTCAGAGAAGGTTGCTGAAGCCCTGGCAGGTGGTACAGTGAAGTGGTGATGCCTGATTGTTCCTGTGAGTCCTGGGTTTTCTGCCCTCACTCCTTGGCTTATCTATTGCTCCATCTCCAAGTACTTCTATTTGACCCCCCCAGAAGTCCCACCCCACATGTGGCTGCTGTGGGGTGACCTTGTAGCTGGGTGGTGCTGTATGTGACCATCAGGAGATGTGCTGGGCAGGAAGGAAAGGCAGGGACTTGGTCACAGCTGGGTATGTGGGGTATGTCATTATTACTGATGCCAAAGCCAAGCCCCATAATTGGTACCTCCAGTTGCTGCTCAGGCTCCTGGCTAGGGAGTAGTTGCCCTCTCTGCTCAATCCTAATCTGTCAGAGAAGTTATTTTTCAACAGGAAAAGGCAAATTAATTAAAGTGTGCAGCATGAGAGCCATCCACCACTAACTGGGATCTCGGTGTGCAGTGCATAAATGTCACGCCATTACCACTTCTGCATGGAGGGGGTCCTCAGCACACGAGGGAGCTGGAAGGCAAAGCAGTCTATCCAGCTGCCACTCTGCCAGCCAATTAATGCCCGTGTCCTTCTCCCCTCATCCCCAGGAGCAGCGGCCTCTCCCCCCTCCCTGCCCGGCCCATACGGCCGCTCTGTGCACTCCGCTGAGCACGAGGATTTGTTTTGCCCACAGCATGTCGAGCAGAAGTGCCTCTCATCTGCTCCCAGTGAGCTCCCTCGGCTCCTCTTTGTTTTGCCTTTCAAGCAGTTGCTGATGGCATGTGGCACCGGTAGGAGCTGGCAGGGATCAAGCTGTCTCCCCCAGGATGCTGGCCTGGGGCATCAGCTCTTTCTGCCAGGAGCCAGCATCCCAGAGAGGACACTGTGAGGCTTCCCCTTTGCCTCTCATCTGAAAATCAATATGCTGCTGCTTGCTCTCCAAGCATCCACCTTCTGTGCCAGGATCTTGCCTGCCAATGCAGGCCAGGCTCCTCCAGCTCAGCGGTGCCATAGGGGAGGGACTTGGGGTCCCAAGCAAGCAGCTCAAATAACTCAGGACAGGCAAACTGTGAGCAGTGGGAGATGTGAGCGCAGCAGGGAGCAAATGCCACCACTGGAAAAGGCAGCCAGACACAGAAGTCACCAGGAGGACCTGTTGCTGAAACTGGACCCCTGTGTATATGGAGAGTTGCAGCTGGTCTCTGTCACCCCTCTGAGCCTTCACTTCAGCTGTGGCTGGCCAGCCAGTGAGCTTCAGGCAGGCACATGGGTTTTGGCAGCTGCTGAGATTTGTCTTCCTGTGCTTGCATCCTGCCCTGCTTCAGCTCGGCTGGTGGAGTTGGATGTTGGAGTCCCTGCTCTTTCCAAGCTCAGGAAACACCCGAAGCTCCCTGGCCTTTCACCCTTACCCTCTGAGCTCCTACTCTTCAGCTAGGAGCTCTTCAGCTTCACAGAGGCTGGTGTAAATAGCAGACATGAGATGTGGTAATATAGGCTTTGTTCTTTCTATTTCTTAGGCTCATCCTCATGGCCTTTTCCTGGAGTTTAATGCTGTACCCCTGATACCATCACAGCTATTAAAGCCTGTCCCTCAATCCCCAGTTCAATAATACAGTAATAGCCTGATAGGATCAGGAGCTGGCTCTGATGGCAGATGGACTCCAGTTCCTTCTCCAGCACAGCGTGGGGCACTGCCACCCCACTGCAGGGAAACTTTAATTTGCAGATTATCTGTTTTCGCTGCAGACGTTGGGGATGGGGGATGAGTAAGTGGTGGTTGCTGGCTGCTGACCAGGCGCTGCTGAGAGCCCTTTGCTGGCTGGTACCCAAGCCCAGCTTCTCTCCTTCCCCTGGGTCCTTGTCACACTCCCCCAGGGTGTTGTGGTCGTGGCTCTGCCCTTTCCCTGGGGGTCATTACTTCTGCGTTTGCTCATCCAGCCAAACAGGGCCATATCCCACCCAGGAGTCCTTGCTTGGGCAGGGGCCATAAACTCCTTCCCCCTCCAGCCTCTGGCAGAATTAGAAAAGGCTCAGAGGGGCTAATGAAGACTGACTGGCTGCTGCTGGGGAGGCTGATACTAAAACATTTAAGTGCTACAGCAGTACAGAGGGTTGTACTTATCTGCCTGCCTACTGCAAAAGTTCCCATGGAAGCCGTGTCAGCAGCCCTCTGTTAATCACCTACATCAAAGGGAATGCTAATTAAAACAATTATTTAGGGAGGGACTGAGGCTGGTCCTGCTGCATTGCTGGTGGGGGGGGACGACAAGCACAGCCATTAAACAGCAGCTTTAGGGCTCTGGTACCTAGTGTGACTGGCAAGGACAAGTGATAACTAAGAAGGACAAGGTTTTTTCAGGCATAGGGAGCACCTGGGCCACAGGTCCCAGTCAAGGAGGACAAGAGCTGAGCATGCAAAAACAGCAGTAACCCGGCACAAGATGCTGCCCTGCACCCAGCCTTTCCCACCCACAACGTGGGAGTAAAGATCTTGCTCCATGAACTCTTTATTTCAGTGTCACGCAAGCTCTGCTGGCTCTTGCTAGGGGGTTGGTGCTGCTCCCCGCAGAGCTGCAGCCCCAGGCTCAGTGCTTGGCAGTGCTCGGGGTGCAGTGACCCAGGCCGAGCCCTGGAGATGGGTTTGCTCCAGAGGCGCTGAGGATGGCTAAGCCCAGCATTGCTTTTTTGATGAGATCTCAGATTTGGTTGACAAAGGTAGCTGTGTTGGCATAATATGCTTAGGCTCCTGTAAGGTATTTGACATAATAACTCCTGACAGCCTGATGGGAAATTAGCCCTATGCAGCGCTCCGTGGGTTTAATGCAGCTGAGTGCAAGGCCTGCGTTTGGGGAGGCAGAATGTAGGTCGCAGCAGAGACAGGGCTGCACGGCACCAGCAGCCAGGCAAAGGTCAGGGCACCACGGCACCACTGGGGCCTGTCCCGCACAGGGAATGAGCTCATTCCCTACAAGTTACTTTGGAAATTAAATTTGAGAAATTGCTCAGCTAAACTCCACCAGGACTCCAAGGTTCCACGAAAGAGCCAGCTCAGGGGTACCAGCAGTCAGAAAACTGCCAGTGAGCAGAATTCCCAGCCGGGTCCCAAGTGCTGCTCCCCTCCTTGGTGCTGTCAGTTCCTGCAGGGTTCAGCAGGATGGGACACCACCTTTCACCTGGTTTCTTCAGGCTCCTTTCCCCTGTTTCCTTCCCTGCCCTTTGGTTCTCACCCCTGCCTAAGTGATTTTCTCTAGCAACCATCTCCTGCATTTTGTTTTCCTCCCCCTCTGGGACATTATTTATCTTATGCCCACTAGTGAGCATGGCCTTTCCTTCCTAGGAGCACTGCTTCCCACAAAGGTAATGGGACTAATGGGAGTGCGGTGTCCTTGATGCTTGCCAGGATTTGGATCCATCCACCGTGGGGATCACTCATTGGTCATTTGAAGCTCTGCCTTTGGGCAGACCCACCCTACGTGGAACTCCTCAATGCTGCCAGCCCCAGCCCCACTGGCTGCACAAATGTTAACTTAAGGAACAGCGAAAAGCCCTGAAACTGCTGAGATTCCTCCCATCTCGAGCAGCCCTTGCTCTGTCTTCATCAAGGCTGTTTAAGGCTGTCCAGATGGCCTAATGTACCTCATCAAAGTACAATTTGTATCGCAGTGCACAGCTATTTGAAGCCTGCCAGCTTGGGGCTGGCAGTAACACTTTGGCCAGCGACACATCTGCCTCAATTCATTGGGGAGGTGACGGATGGACTGAGGGACTGTGATCTGTAGCCCAGTGTGGGAAGGCTGACCCAGCTGAGGGACCAGGGGGGCATTTGCATGGCAGCTGTGGGCTGGTTCTGGTTGGGTCTCCCCGAGGCATTGGCAGCTACTGCTGTGGGGATGGTTGGAGATGCAACAGGTCCCATCCTTTGGGACACAACTGGAAAAGCCCTTTGAGCCTGGCAGGAGCATGGGGTTTATCTCTCCAGCTGCCCTGACCCTGCTTGCAGCCCCACTGGTTTAGTGTGAACCCTTTGCAGCCCCAAAAGGTTGTTCCTTCCTGCTGGCATCTTCAGCTATTTGGAGGAAATTTATTAAGCACTGCTTTGCTTTGCTTGCACTCTCTGGACAGGCTGTGTGCTGCAAGGGTTCTCATGCAGCCTTCCTCACAAGGCTGACGAGCTCCTGCTCCACAGCTAATGTGAGGGAAGTCTTGACTTCTACGCCGGGGATGCTGCAAGGTTTCCAGGCCAGGTCTCAGGTGGAAATGGGTGGAAAAAGTAAATTTTCATAAAATAGTGTTACCTTTCAAACAAATAAGACTACAGCTGCTTACTTTCCTCTTTTGAAATACTATCACTACAATAATGCTTCTTTAAATTTCAGTCATACAACCTATTTAGGGTCAGACACTCAAATGGGTATGAATTAATTCAGCTCATTAGAATGTGATATGCCTGAGAAGAAAATTTGCCCTCAAAATATGTTGCTCTCACTCAGCTCTGAAAACTAATATAGATTTTCCCCACTTTACAGTAGCAAGAGGGGATCCTCTTTTTTATATCATGCTATGGAAATGCCTGCCATCCCGCTTCCCAGCACTATTGGGGGATGCTGGCACACCACAAGAGCTGGAGGAAAGCAGTGCTGGTGTGAGCAACTGCTTTGGTGGGTGCATGGAGGGAGTCTGGAGGAGCTGTATAAGGGTGGTTCAACCAAGGAGCTGCATGGACCAGTATCTGGGGAAGGTACAGCCAGAGCGTGGGGATAGGAGTGCTGTGAAATGGGGTCTGAAGATCCCGCTGCTCCTGTGGTGACCTCAGCCAGTTCCCCCCCAAGGGACAGTGGCTGGTAGCATTGCATCTCCAGCGACACAGTTGGAAGCACTTGCTCTCTGGAGGTGTTGACAGCTCCTCTCCTCACATTCCAGGTTTCAAGGCCACGTACCCAATCCCCTCTTGGAAGCAGCTCTGGTCCCTGACTGCATCTGACTCTGACTCTGCCTGGCTGCCTGGACTCATCCCTGTCTGCAGCTCCATTCTCCAGCCGAATCACCCAGGGGCTGGAAATTACCTC